CACAACACAATTCACCCCAACAACGGAAATCCTGTGGCCACTAATGAGCTAACGTTCAGTGGATGAACTCTCATAATGTCTGTTCTCTGGCATCAAAAACACATTTAATCTTCTAGACTTATTTTTACACGGGGACATTACCGCACATAGAAGTAATGATCTACTTCAAGAATTCAAGAAGGTCCTTAGACTCTAAAAGTGTCTTGTGGACATTTATAATGAATTGTAAACTCTGTGAAAGGATAGTAAGTTTCAGTCCTCGAACCATCAGGTAAAACACAAATTACTGAAATGCACTCACATCAGTTTTACTGAAATATATTCAAACTTGTCAAAAGCACAACTTAATCAACACTGGTAATCCTTGGGTGCTGTGTGGGGGGAAAAATTATTTCAGCCAACTGCGTATCCTCACATGAGACTCCCCGAAGCGTTGGTCTTATTTGCTCTGTGTTCTGAGCAACACATTTGGTTTGTCCCTTAATTGGATTTTTGCGGCAAGAATATGGGTTTAATTGATCCTTCAAAGTAATAGCGCTCAGTTCTCAGTGCAGCACATCTGGTTTCAGCATACAGCTGCTGGCAGGGACAAAAGTGTTTGATGATTCAATACATTGTGTGTGTTGTTTCATATTGTAAGTGTTTCAGATGAAATATTTTTTATGTACTTGGTGAAATTTTAATGAGTTCTTTTTACATTTAAGCCCTTGTCAACATTACGGACTTAGAACCACAGAGTCGTGTCTTTAGTTACATGAATACAGTAAAACATATATAATATTGATTCAATAATGTTTCCTCTATTAGAGTTTGCAGTGACGAAACAGTAAAGATATTAGTTTTTGGAAAGCTTGTGTTGCAATAAACAATGTTTCAATTCTTCATGCTATAGGGAAAACGTTTTTTAAAGAAGAGGAGAGAGACTCCTGAAGTATTGAGTTCCCTGTATCCATCATTTTCGACGAGTTAGGACCTTGGAGTAGCGCCAGCAGCGGCTGTGCTAGCCAGCCGTAACTGACATTGAGTGCATTGTTTGCAGTGGGAGCTCACGGCTGTGGCCTAAAGGTACATTCCTGAGATCAGAATACTGTTTGAAACACAAACAGCCTTTGTGCCCTCACTGCTCTCTTTCCCTGACTCCCTCATCCACATCAGGCCTCAAGAACTAAACTGCCGCCTCTTGCTCATGTGTCAACATGTGGGCTATCATTTTACTCACACCCACACACTCACAACCACGCACGTATCCACACACACACACACACACACACGTGTCATTTTGATGATGTCCAGGCAGATAACTTTCTAAAGCTATCTAAGATTTTTTGGGGAAAAAAAGGCAAAGCCTTTATGACATAAACGGTGTGTATTGTTCTTATAAACCTTTGTGATGATCACAGTAAATTTCACATTCAGGGCACCTTAAAACGGTCTGCAGATGTTAAAATTTGGACTTTACAGCATCAGTTTTAGCTGTTCATCCCATCATCTTTTATATATGTTTTGACATTTGCTGATTGATGTTGCTCGTTTTTACCAGAATCAGAAGATGCAAAGGAAACCTTAATCCCAACTTGTCTTGATTCACATAAGAAGTATTGAGAAGTATTGCAGATTAGTCACAGTCACAGATTCATTACATAATTAAATTATTTTAAAACAAAAATGTCTTTTTTCCCCCCTCAATTGTAGCAGTTTCCTGGTTTTCTTGGTCCAATTCTTGGTCTTGTTTAGTAATCTGAATATTAACTAAAAATGATCCAAATTGTTTTTGTCATTTTTGGGCTGAGGTTGGTCAGTACCAACAAATATGTAGAAATGTCCCCGCTTTTAACCAGAGATTTGTGTGAGACAAATGCAGGAACTTGGGTGTGTGTGTTCCTAACCCCAATTGTGTAAATTTGTTGTCACTTGTGAAACAGAAGACTTTTAACTCCAGAAAAAAAACTTTTAAAATGTAATTTTTTTTCCCCATGTAGCTATCACATTACCTTACAGTGAAATGGGGAAAAAAAGAGTTATAATTAAAAAGACTAGAGAAGCATTTTACTTTAAAGGGGAAAAGGGCATGCAACTTTTTGTGTAAATGTTGCTTTTCGGGGCTTGCTTTGTTGTTAGCGGCTGCTCAATTAATAAAAGCATGCATGCAGCTTTTCATAGAAGAAAGGTTTAAACTCTCAAACTCTAAAACCTTTATAGCTGTCTTCAAATTTTGGTCTTCATCCCTCAGAGTTAAGAAGCCACAGACACTCTTGACTCTTATTTGGAGAACCATTAAGTATTTAAGCAATGAAAACTCCATCACAGAGGAAACAGAGGTTTCCAGTTATGCCACAAATATCCACCACTGACCAGACTGCAAGGCTGTGTGAAGATATTTGTTGTGATTTACATGCAAATAGAAGCACTCACTGAAAAAAACTACAGCTTGTGTTTCTGCCTACCCACATCTTGATATCTAATTTAAACTATTAAGCTGTTGAAATAAAGGATATGAATAATCAAAACTTGACACAGTCCTCACTAATGACAGAAAAAAGCACAAAATGATCAAGCTGTAACTTCATCACAAAGTTGAACTGATTGATGAAACATGCCCAAGGTTCACATTAATCAACCAATCAGGTTAAACTGATGTAATTATTCATGTATAACACTGCTAATATAAGAGACCGTCATCTGATTCATCAGCAAAAAGAAATTTGTCCATAATGAATGATTAGAGTGAATTATGTTCAATGAGGGTCATATTATACCTCAATTAATTTGTACTCAACCGCTCTTCTGAGGGAGAGTTTATAGGATGAAGATGATTAAATCAGTGATGATGCTGCACAGATAATTAGCACTGCAGGCATGGACTTGTTGCATGGCCTATCGATGCTTAGTAGGGGAGTCACGCTGTCATTTCCTCTTATGTGTAGGATATTGTAGCATAAGAAGTTGGGTAAGCTGGGACATTATGATGGTCTGGTGTTTGAAGCACATAAAGGATGCTATTATTACGACCTTCTTTCTTTCCTCTCATTTTCAGCCTCTGGTTTTCTTTTGGAAGAAATAAAAAAATAAATAATAATAACAATAATAATAAAAACCCTTTAGTGAAATGTTGAATTAAACAATATTACCACTTAAAACTCAGTAACCACTGTTCAAAATTATTTGAAAGAAGTAAATTAGGTACTTTGGTATTATACAGCTTATCTCTGCTGAAATTTATTATCACTTTACAAAGTAAAAGAAACGACACTCTTTGCCTTCTTTATGTCTTTAAATTGGAATATCTAACTACTGAAAACAATATTTGTTCAGCATATGTCCAAATCTGTTCTCTTTTTTTAATGATGTATTTTATTTTTCTGCATGTCCTAATGGGGAAAAAATCATGGGTACCAATATACTGGAAATTTGAAATTAAAAAGACTAACCAAAGTTGTTAAGTTTTTCAGGGAAATATCATTTCCCTGAAAAACTTGGATTTCCTTTAGACTCTGCTGTCACGTGGTTTTGTAAGTTGAGTGAGCATAAAAAAGGGTCTTAAAATAATTTCCCTGGATAATTGAGAACACCGTTGCTTTTACTAAATCTTCTCTCCAAAGCATCAATCTGAAGTTGTTTCCCAAGACCATCTTCCTCCCACCCTCAGCTCCCGCCCACCGCTACGTAGAAACCCTCAAGTGACGAGCCAATGAGAGCCACTTCGCTAATGTATGTAGAGGGGGCTGAATAACCGAAAGACAAATGGTCAAAGGGGAGAGAGTAGAGGACCACTTTGCGACCCACAAGGATTGTTGTTTTCCCCGTGCACTGTTTGTTGGCACTTCCGTGCGCACACGGACTGCTTAAGGACCCGGTGCAGTCCACGAAAGGACACTCGGGACTTCGCTTGGCTTGTTGGTGGAGATCCGCAAGGGAACGCAACGGGGAATCGCTGAGCCCCGAAACACTGCCATGGAGTGAGACGCTGCAGAAACTCTTATGGACAACTTTTCTTTTGCTGTGTATTTTACTTTAAGTAACTGTTTCAGTTTCCATCCCAATCATGTACGGATAACATAGTTCGCTCAAGAATCCGGCTCAAGTGGATCAGCACTGACGGGTTTATGGAGCCCGGATTACGCATTGCCAGCCTGTTGAACGCCTACACACGGGCCTATGACACACCATCTGCCTCGGAATAATAACATTATATAATAAAATTCTCCAACGAAGACAATATCCATGGAAGTAGTGTAGAAGTTTCACATATGACACGGCTGTGAGTTTTATCGTTTCTTTTTCTTTGCAGCCATAACAATGGCAAACTGGTACAATGGTGCACTGGTACAGAGCGTCTGCAGAACTGTTTGGCCTCTTGGCTGCTTGATTTTGTTTTTTGGCTACTTATCCTTGGCTTCGCCGTCCCATGGTCGGCGACTGATATGCTGGCAAGCCATCATGAACTGCCAAAGCGAGGCTGAATGCAACTACGCGTACGAACACTACAGTCGCGCTTGTCAACCAGTGTTGAGTGGGGAGAAGAAGAAGTGTCCCAGCCACTGCATCGCCTCGCTCATCCAGCTCAATCTGACTAAAAGCGGGCCGGCTCTGGAGGACTGCAGCTGCGGCCGCGATTCGATGTGCACAAATACCAAACGGGCCATAGAGCCCTGCTTGCCAAGGACTACCAGTACCGGTTGCACGGAAGCCCGGCACCAGTGCGAGAGAGACCCTCAGTGCAGCTCGGCAATGCACGAGTATTTGAAACACTGCGGGAAACTTTTCAGCGGGGCAGTGTGCACAAACGCATGCCTAAATGTGATCGCGAACATGCGTAAAATACCGAAGGGTCAGCAGCTGGAAACGTGTGTATGTGATGGCACAGAAAGGGCCATCTGTGAGTTTGTCAAGAACAGCATGAAGGCGTTATGCTTCGAAAGGCCCGATAGATATGAGGCTAGTGGGTCCTACGAAGATGACGAAGACGGGTATCCGGATTATACAGAAGAACCAGAGAGCGGAGCCTCTCTCCCAGCTGCCCAGTATGTTTTGACCCTGCTGCCACCCGTTTTAGCTCTTTTACCCCTCTTTTAATCCCCGTTTCACAAACTGCCCCGTCTATTGTCCGGATAAAAGGCAATCTAAACTTTTGTCACTCCTTGACCTGCTTCTATAGTGAAAGTATAGAGCCTCAAAGATTAAAGGGGAGTGCTTTTGGCGCAAGCAAACCTTCTTTGAAACGAGTTTAAGACTCTGAAAGGATATCAAATCGGGATATTTCTATGCAAATGAGGCCAGAAAGATATCTAAACTCTTTCTCTTATCAAACCACACCACTTATGGCTCTGCAGTTGTGTTTTGTTTGTGTGATAAGCTAAATAGAAATGCCCACTTTCTCTGTCACAGACTGATAGTAAAGTTGTCACAAAAGAGAAAGAGTTGGCTTGTTTTGGTAACAGTATAATGGTATCAGTATAATCAATATATGCTTTGCACTGCCAATCTTTTTGTGTGCGTGTGTGTGAACATATTTTAGGACAGGCCATTGCCCCTTGGCATCAGGCTGATTCATTTGATTTATACATATTTAATGTTGGAATCCAGTGTAAATAGATTAGGTGTTAAAGTAAATCTGTAGCCTAATTTATTACATACCACCTAGTTACATCCAAATCACCATCATGTGAATAAACACAGAGAATTCCAGCTTTAAAGGGAAGTTTTTTTTGTTTTTCTTTGACTGAATATAGTGTACATTGTATATATTTGTATAGCCTATATAGATTTTTTCCCCCCAGAGAATCTTATATGTTTTAGGCTATGAGATGATTTATTCACTGTTTATAGCCCAGAGAAAGAAATGTCTAAATCCACTGTATGACTGCCTTAATGATATACCTTTATAGGAGGCATAAAGGAAACTTGAAGATATCATTCTTGACTGTGAGTGTTAATTTTGCAACATTACTTCCTATACGGTATTGTGCCTTAACTCAGATAAAAGTGACATGGAGTCTGATGACCATTATTACACAATTCTTTGATTAGTATCAGATTGAACAGTAACAAAATCCACTATGAAAAGAGAAAAGTATCAGTTATTTTTTTAAAAACAATCCCCAGATGACACCTCTCCACCTTTAAGTTACATCAGTTTGGAGTGACTTGCTTTATACTTACTTTTCTGTAATAAGTAAATAAAATTTTTATTTTGCACAGTGGTATTTTTATTTCTATAAATCCTTTTCACCTTTGCATAATAATAAAGGTTGAAAGGGCACATTTTGATTATAGATTGATCTATAGCTACATACGTTGCTATTAAGAAGCTGTATTCAGTTTATTTGGTATAATAATAAAATGTTAAGTGATTTGGTAAAAAAACTCAGGGCTGTGGTTGAGCTGATTCCATTTTTGTTTTAAGATTTTTGTCTCATAACAGTGATCAAACCTTAATAGTTTCATTTTAAACCCAAATGCAACTGTGAAACAAACCTACATTTCCCAACTTCAGTTTGTGAGATGACGGTAAACTCAACTAAATGCAGGCCAGCTTCTTCTGCTGACTGATAGTCTAATGACCTGCTATGTCTTGATTTAGCTGCCTGTTGTCAAAAGCAACTGTCGCTATAAATCAACAAAACACCCTCTCCCTCCAACAACACCCGAGGCCACTAAACTCAGGTGTCAGAATTTACTGGCTGTTAAAATCACAGTCTATATTCTTTTTTTCTACTAAGGACAGTCATATGATTTTTTTAGATTAGCGTTATATTCAAGCCTGAGCATTGCTTAAAACTAACACGTTACCATATCAGAAAAATTGACTATTACGCTGTTGTTATTTTTTATTTAAAGTCATGTCATTGTGACATTACTGGCATATTTAAGTCATGTAGCGAAAGCGTATTGACTATTCATTAATTAGCTGCAGTTCCACAAAATTAACAGAAATTATACTTATTGACCTTTAAATTTGAATATCACATGTGTTATGTGCTCAATTATCATTAGTAGTAGTACTATCTGCAGAAATATTTTTTGCAAGAGATATTGCAGATCTGCCATGCCTCTCCGGTCAGCTTTGGGTAACTTTTAAATCAATGATTTGCTGCAAAATGTTTTATTAGAGGGGGGACAAGGGTACTCTAGCTGAATGGATGGAGGAGAAGTCGAGTGGCATCTTTGTCATGGAAATGTTAAGCACATAATAGTTGGGTAGCACAATGGGGAGGCACTTCATTCTTTCAGGCTGGCTTGACACCTCTGGAGAGCCGAACGACGGGGAAGCATGTGGGAACGATCTGCTGCCGCTTGGGTCTCAAACCTCCACTGTAAGAAGAACAGCAGAAGAAGAAAACACATGACAAGCCTAGTGAGGGCTGTTTTATCTTGAATATGCATGTAATGTGCCCTGTGTATTTTTGAAGATGTTTTTTTAATTTAATTTTTTACCTGCTTTGTTTACTTTGATACCTAAGCTTTAAGTAAATTACAAGAATACAGCACATTAATGCAAGAAAAGATTACTTGCAATATTTTAAATATTGCAGAAGAAAAGTAACATTAGGCAGAAAAAATATGCTGTCTATATATTTGCTGCTTGCAAAGAGTTCCCCAGATCCCATAGCGCCTAAACGAAATACCTTGTCAGTTTCTTGCAGTGCTGGTAATGTGATCCACCGTGCATGAAGCTTTCCAGGCAGGAGAATAGCTCTGTAGCCCAGCCTGTCCTCCCCTCCTCCTCCTCCTTGTCTTTCTTTTGCCTCTCGCATTTGTTCAGGCAGTTTCAGCACTTAGAAAAGGCGCAGCATGCGTTGATTAGGCTATAATAATGTGCAGTGTGTGTGAATGGATGAATGAAGTGTAAAAAATCTCACGAAACTTGCCTGCTTGTCAGAAAATGGAAGTGATGTACGACAAGGGCTTGAATATATTTCATAGTGTTCAGCTCACAAGCCAAGGTTTATTTATTTTTTCTGTGGTTTTAAAGGATTATTGTAGTTAAACTAAATAAATTAACCAGCCACAAAAAGTGCCTCAGAAATGGAGAGTTATCACAGCTGATTCTGTCGTTAAACACTCCTCTCTTGCTCTCTGTCGTCCTCAGCATACGTAGAGCAGAGTGTGTGTGTGTGTGTGTGTGTGTGTGTGTGTTGGGCGTGGGGTGGTGGTGGTTTTGGGTTTAATTTACAAACTGTGGCTGTTTGTGTTCCAGCTCTTTGAGAATGTGTAAGGTATCTCTGCCATCAACTTTGCTTCAGTGAGCTCAGTTCACTTCCAAGCTCTGTTTCTTTGGCCTCTTGAACAAAACGGCCTACACTACACCCCATGCAGATCACTTCGCCCCTTCACCTCATGCTTATCACAGCACAATGTTTACAAGGAGCAAGTCTCTCAACCACTGATGCTGGAGATTTGATGTTTGGCTGCCTTTAATAGAACTGATAATAATTCTTTTATATTTATATATATATATATTACTGTTATGTTGTTTTTCTTCCTATTTTTTTTTCTACTGTTTTAGCAATAAGTTTCCACATTGAATTAAAAGAAGTCTTTATAACTCTTAGGGATATATATACATACATACACATGACCTTAAGTCAACTTTTCCTAGCAGTGTTTTCAGTTGATTCTTGGCACCGGTTGTGTTTTTTCATGGAGAGATAAATGGAAAACCTGCATGCAGCCTGTTTAGTTTCACCTTTAATAACCCTAAATCAAAAACAAGATGTGTCAATGGGTGTTTTTTTTTTTTTTTTAACAACTCTTTCGGTCTTTCTAAAAAGGTTTGGAAGGGCTAAAGTGTATCCTTCCTTCTTTTTTTTTTTTTTTTCAACACTGACTGTATTCCAACAAATTCCTGGTAGTTAAAATCCATAAAAGTGCCGGTACCTGTAAAAGTCCTAGTGCCTGATTTTAACATCAGTTAAAAACCATTGCTTAATGCCTTTTAAAACCTTGAAGCGGGGTCTTCCCTCCGGATGTTCCCTCACCATTTTTCTCAGAGGCATTTGGTTTGGCCTTGGCTCCATACAGGTTTGTGCAAAAAGTGATGTAAAAACGACTGGACAGTTGGAATGGCTGAGACAGAGGAGGAGGCACTGAGATGGAAAGTTCATTTGAAAGGATTTGGAAATAATCCCTTGAAGTTACCAAAGGGTATCTGATGGAGTGGACTCCACCTTGACTTCCCTCTGTGCTGCAGCCAAAGCTTAGGCATTTGCTAAAAAGATGGTTTAAAATAGGTGTTAGTTGTTCCCTTTTCATCCTTACTTGGAATTTGTTTTTGTGTTGTAAGTTATTTCAGCTCTCCTGGTTATGCTCTCCTCTTTGCCTTTGGTTGGGGATTCTCTAAATTCAAGTTCTTTTCGGGAGACGCCAGTCACATAGCATAGCAAAGATCATTGATTTTGCATCTCTCTCGTTAGCTGTGTTGCTGATGCCAGAAGACTTTCAGGAAACCCTTGTTATTTTTCTCTGTTCTATTTCAGCTGCCACTTTGATTTCATCATGCAAGACCTCTGCTGAGTTCACAACCCTTTGAAATGAGAAAAAGGCCTGTAATCCAGTTACTCAAGCTGCCGCGCAGCTCCTTGGGTCCTGAGAGAAAACCTGCAGCACTAATCCCACTGTCACCAAGAGAACGCCTTGCTACCTGAGTGTTTGTGGCAGCCATTTGATATATTCACTGTTTAATATGTTGCTGTTGAGGGTCTCTAAAAGAAGGTCACAAAGCGTTTCACACTGGTTTTGTTAGTTGTACTGCAGTTGGTATAAGGCTGGTGTAGTGTCGGAAAAATCTAAAAGATGATGCAAAAGAAAAAAAAAACCCTTAGTGGTTTAGCTGCAAAAGAAAAGAAAGCCACTGGATGGTTTCAGTGTGTTTTTAAGGCTTGAAGTGCTTTGAACACAACTTACATCCACTGAGTATGCAATGAATAAAAAAATCCAAATACCTATGTATTCAACAGGACTGATAAGATTTTGGAGGCATCCTAAAATGTCTTGGAATCAACATTTGATTACAATGAAACAATGAAATGTCCATGGTTTTTGTAGAGGAAGTGAGTCACTGTCAAAGTAAAGTTGTAAAGTAGCATAGAGTGAGTATACCAATGTTGTTACTTTGTAAAAAAAAAAAAAAAACCTGCTTTGGATATGGTATTACTACTAAGTCTAGACATAACGTGAGTAAACATTAGTGTTTGGACACTGACAAAACGAAATAAAATATTCGAAAAGTAGTCTCTTGCCACACGTATAGTCAGAAAGTCCTCACAAGAAATCAGCAGCTGTCATTTCAACATTTATTTGCAAATGAAAAAGCTCTAAAAGTAATATCAAGTATCTCAGAAGAAAAGTCCATGCATGGTTATAGGACGTATGCAATCGAGAACCCTTGATAAGATAAAATTTAAATCAGTGCTGGACTGTCCAAACCTGTAGTTCCCTGAATAGCCACTTGAGGCTGGCTTCAAATCTCCCAAATATTTGGGGGGTTCGCCACTTTGGGTGACAAGCTGGTGCTGACACAAGTGGCTGAAGCCGATAGGTGCACCTCAGCTAACTCAAGTCAATGAGCTTCACCACTTTACTTCACCAGCATTCACACAGCCTATTGGATGATTCCTCCAATAGGCTTGTGGCCTATTGGAGGAATCATCTTAGACTTAACATGATTGGTTGTCTGTGCAGTGCATCTGTATGCTTTGTGGATGTGCCTTAGTAATTTAGGTTACCCGCATTATCTGATAACTTAGCCCTTCTCACATCCAAATATGGTTCCTTTGGGTTATCAAATACACAAGCTACTGGTATCCATGAAGATAAAGCTGGGTCTTCAAAATTAGAGTGAAGTGGGTGATGTCAAGATGGTTACATCCACCTTTTATATGCTGTGTATTGGAACACATTCAAGTGCATTGTAGCCAAGCCTTATAGAGTTGTTAATAAAACTAAATCTGATTTTCTTTTCTGCCTATCTGGAAAGGCTTCTGTGTCTAACTGTGTCTGGAAAGCAGCTTCAAGCAATGTTGATTTATTTTGGGCATTCTTTTGTTATCTGAACAGTTCTGGAAACAAATGATCATCAACTGTCCTCAAATATACTGTGATTTGTGGAGTTAATTACTCAGTAATAGCCCTCTAGTTGACACATTTAACAGTTTACTACTATCTGTTTGTATGGCTCCAGTGGCCCTTCAGCTTTC